TTTGCACAGTGCTTTGCAAAATGCAAGGTCACATTGGGTCGGATCTAGAACTTTCGAACATTGGCTTCCATTAGCTCTGGGAATTCCCACCAAAGCTGTCAATATTTATAACCAGAGAGTATATTAGTTATAAGTAACATAACTTAATTTTCATTAATCTCTGCATATTTTATGTAAAAAAAAAATATCACAGAACAAAAGACTAACTTACCAGAGAAGACAATGAGAAGAATCAAAATTTGGGTGACAGATTGCTTTGCCATTGAAGTTATTTGCTTTGTCAGTGTTATTATTGGGTTCTTCTTCACTATTTATAAAGTGAAATTTTGAGGGGGCCATTATTTATATATATATAGCTTTTTTTTTAATTTTTTTTAATATTTTAATCCTAAAAATATCTCAATATTGATTATTTATTGAGATTTCTGGCAAAAAAGAAATTTTTACTCGGAAATTATGCTGATATCTTGGTAAATACAAATATTTTATTAATATATACCATCAATATATTTATATAGTAAAGTATACTCTAATTGGTTCTCCAATCAATCTGTACAATGATCATCATTATTATTAATTAATTATTTAGTTTTCCATAAGTATCTCTGTTTGTTTTTTAATCTTGATTATATCAATAAATATGTAATTATGATTACCATAAATTTAAATTATTTCTAATTTTTCATTGATACTTCTGTTTCTTTTTTTTTTTTTTTTTAAAAAAAAAAACTCTTAATTAAATCTCATTAAAATTTAATTAAAACACAATTTGGTAATTAAGCGTGATTTTATAACAATAAAGTGCATTTCCATTAATTTCTTTTACAAAATTTTCATATATTTTTGCTATCTATTTTCAATATATATGATTTGATTTGATTCTATTACAAAATAATTAAAATATCACGATCAATTAATACTGAATTCGGCAATATATGGTCGATTTTTAATTTAAGATTTGAATTCATGCCTAGTAAGGTTAATTTGGGTGGTTCATATCCGAATCTCACTCAATTTATATACAATTTTTTAAATATATAAAATAATAGAAATAAATATATTATTTATGTATACGTTATAAAGCTAATAATAAATATTAACATGATAAAATTATTTAAATAATATATAAATAATTTAATTCATGTAGTTTAATTTTAAATATTTTATTTGGTAATAAATATTAATTTTAAATTACTATCTTTTAATTTGAAAAATAAAAATTACATATATTAAATATAAAATTTCTATTAATAAATTTAACATTGTATTTTTTACTTTAGAACTACAAATTTAATAAATTAAATAAAATATAAACTTTATTAGATATAGTGGTTAAAAACATTAATCTTCCCATGCAACATGAATTATATGCTTTTACTTGCAAAGATCGTATTTTAAACACATAAACAATATTAAATCAAATTCAATATATTTATAATAACTTATAAGTTAAGAAATTCATATGTATGTAAATAGGAATATAAATGTTGTAATTTATTTTAGTTATAATTTTATTATACATGTACGTTGTATCATTTCAATGTAAGTTCATTATATTTGACTCTGCAATATATATAGTTGTTAATATATTGAATGGGATTTACTGATTTTAATATATGTTCTACTCTGAAATTGTATTATTATTTAAATATCCATCAAATAGGAAGAAAAGAATCATGATATTCCAATTGATTCTAATTGAAAAGATAATTCATGCATGTCCAGAAAGCTACTGAGAATAATTCGAAGTTGCAGCAAGGAATGACCATTATTCAAGAAATGTATCTGGCTCTGGAACTTTTGCTATTTCCTTTTCTTCTTCTTCTTCTTCTTCTTCATCTGAAGCCTAAGGTTTCGAGATTTAATTTACTAAATGAATTGTGACAGGGCGTGTTTCAAGGAGGATTCTTGAAATTAATGAGGACTCCTCAGAAGAAGTCGTATCTTTCTTCTTCCATCTTCTCTTCTTCTTTTTGGCTTCTCTATCTTCTCCTACCTTTGTCTCTTCTCATTTTTCTTCTGTTCAAGCTTCCTCCTGACTTCTCTTCTTGGTCTTCCTTGTCTTCTTCATTGACCGGCAGATTTGACTTTTCCCCATCTAATCTTTCCTTTACTTCTTCTTCTTCTTCTTCTTCTTCTTCACTGGTACTACAGTTAGCTTCAAACAATGTCAATGCTTCTATCACCATTAATGGATCCTCTTCAGATGCTAATTCCTTCACATTACCGGCAAATCCAGCTCCGGCCATCTATGTCATATCAAACAACGCATCTACAAACACATCCGATACTTGTACACCAGAAATATTGAAAGAAGAAAAAATACCGCAGAATGGTGAAATAAATGTTGTGAAAGAGACGACAAGAGTTGGCAGATTGGAGAAGCTTGAATCTAGACTGAGTAGAGTCAGGTCTTCCATAAGAGAAGCTGCTCTTGTAAGAAACTTGACATCACTCCATGCAGACCCAGATTACGTTCCTTGGGGGTCCATATATAGGAATCCTAACTCTTTCCACAGGTATGTGTATAGTGATCATTATCACTAACCATATTCATTAATGATATCTCTTGAATATATATATAAATACGTTTCTGAATGAAACTATATACATATATGTATATATAGGAGTTACTTGGAGATGGAGAAGATGTTCAAGATATATGTATACGAAGAGGGAGAACCACCCATGTTCCACAATGGACCATGCAAGAGTATATATTCAACAGAAGGGAGGTTCATTAATGAAATGGAGAAGGGTAAATTTCATAGAACAAAAAACCCAGATGAGGCTCTCGTTTATTTCCTTCCCTTCAGCGTAGTAATGATGGTTCAGTACCTTTACGTCCCTGAATCCACTAACACTCATTCCATCGGCCGTGCCGTCGTGGACTACATCACTCTCATCGCTAATAGATATCCCTTTTGGAATCGCAGCCTTGGCGCCGATCATTTCATGCTTTCCTGCCATGATTGGGTCTCTGTCATCTTTTATTCTTTAAATATAAGTTGATTCATTCATCAATAGTTACATAGATAGAAATTATAATATTAAGCTAAATAGTAATCACCTAATTTAGGTAGCATGTAATTTATAGTTGACCGAATTTATTGTGTATTTTAATTTAATTTTATTAAAAATAAATGTTAGTGAAAAAGTTTAAGAGAAGATTAGTTTTGTTTATATTGTTTGTATGCTTTTATAAGACAATTATTTATTCCTAGTTTTATTTTTTATTTAAATGATATACCATTTATTGAGTACATTTTCTATACAATATATATTTTCATTTTATTCTTTTTAAGAAAATCAAAACATATCCCCACTTTATTTCAAAACTTTTCAGTTTTCTTCTCGTTCTAAACATATCCCCACTTTGATTCCATATCTTCATGCTTAATAGATCAAATCATTTCTTAATTATATATATATATATATGTATATGAATATGTACAGGGGCCACGAGCATCATCTTATGTTCCAAACTTGTTTAACAACTCCATCAGAGTCCTATGCAACGCCAACACCTCAGAAGGATTCAACCCAGCAAAAGACGCTTCGTTCCCGGAGATCAACCTCATAACAGGCGAGATCAACGGCCTTCTCGGCGGCGAGTCCCCTTCCCGGCGACCCATTCTCGCCTTCTTCGCCGGCCGTCTTCACGGCCACATTCGCCACCTTCTTCTCCAACAATGGAAAGACAAAGACGACGACGTTCAAGTCTACGATCATTTGCCAGAGGGAGAATCATACACATCCAAGTTAAAGAAGAGCAAGTTCTGTCTATGTCCGAGCGGGTACGAGGTGGCGAGTCCGAGAGTGGTGGAGGCCATTTACGCGGAATGCGTGCCGGTATTAATCTCCGAGAGCTATACGGCCCCGTTTAGCGACGTACTGAACTGGAAGGCGTTTTCGGTGGAGGTGAAGGTGGAGGATATACCAAATATAAAGAAGATACTGGGGAGTATATCGCAGAGGCAGTACTTGAAGATGCAGAGGAGAGTGAAGGAGGTTCAGAGACATTTTGTGGTCAATTCAACGCCTAAAAGATTTGACTTTTTTCATATGACTCTTCATTCTGTTTGGCTTAGGAGATTGAACGTTCGAATCCAGGATAAAAATTGACCGATTGATACAATATTCGGCTCAACATTCTCCACCCAATTTATTTATTTTTTATAATTGTCAAAAATCGTTGAAATTTTTGTGTGTAATTGTCAAATCACGTACCGTACAAAAAATTATTTATAGTTGCCCATTTATATAACAGCATTATGGACAAGATTACATGTATATTTATATGATCTTAACAATGGTATATTAAAAATCTACAACTCATTCACTATTATTTAATTAAAAGATTCATACTTTTAATTTTTTTTTTAATGAAATTACAATTTTAAATCAGATTGTATATTTTGTATAAAGATGACAAGAAAGCAAATTTAGAATAAGGTTTATCAAAACAAATTTAACTCAATTAATATAAATATAAATGTACTTATATTAAGAAAAAATTAAAATATATATAATAATATATTTTAATTATATTTATCACTCTCTAAACATAACTTTATTTATTAATGATTATCATCCTTAATTGATATATTATATAGTCAATTCCGAAAGTGACAATCTATCGTGTCATTTCATTTCAGTAATTTTAAATTATCACAAACTTAATAAATTTTAAAAAAATTACACATAAAATAATAAAATTAAAAATTATAAATATAATATATTATTAAGCTTTTATCATTACAAACTAAATACTATCAAAAGATAATTCCGCAAAATAATCCCCTGAAAAAATTTCCCGAAGTTGAAGGGGAAAAAAAGGAGAAGTAAAACACAAGAGTTGATTCAAATTGTATATACGTATAAAAAGGCTAGGCTTGTCTCGATGTCGTCGTCCTTGTAAATGATCAGAAGATCAGAGGATATTGCAAGGGGGTTCTTGTTGGTAGGAATAAACTGGAATGGCAGGATTGCTAACTTCCCACATATGCCAAACCGGCATAGCCTGCATCTTAGCTTCCTCTGTTTTCTTCTCTTCTGGTTTCTTCTCGTCGGCGGCACCCACGGTCATCAGCTCTGTGTATCCCACGCCTTTTCTCAACAGAGTCGTTAACTGAACCGCGTCAATTCCGTTTCCGATCACCTCTATCTGGCACTTGTCGTCTCCCTTTAAAGCTGCGGATTCTACGCCTGCAACGTGTTTCAAAAAATGCGCCAATCAGCAAAATAATTTTGGTACTGTGTTAAACAGATAAGTTACAAGATATAAATAATGGGTTTTATATGGGATCGTTCTTAATCACCTGATACACCCACAACGATCTTCAAAGCCTTGGAGCGAGACTTGTCGCCGTTCATACTTACCTTCACCACCATCTTTTGCTGTAGAAATAAAACCCAATCTTCATCAAAATTCATACTTATTAATCGATTTTGTGTTAACATTATTAACATATGTGCTTAGCAAACGGATGTATACCTTCATGGTTTCTCTGTTTTGTTGAAGAAGATGACCGAGAATTCAAATGGATGTCTGATTTTGAAAAGAGGATTAGGAAGAAGAAGTTGAAATGGTGCGGTCCAGGGACGATGTGGGAAGAGTCTTTATTAGTGGGAGCTTGCTGTGCTTGAACTTCCGAATCGGGTTATATCTAAGAACTTTCAACATGGTTTCTTGGAATATTGAGAGAAATAGTAAAGGAGTGTGTATCTGTGGGTCTACTTAGAGCTGTTAAAGGACAGGAGACCCCAAAAGCTGAGTCAATCGAGATTAGATGGAGTCAAGTAAAGCCCACAGACAAAGAAACACGGTGATGTGGAAGGTGCTGTTGAAGCTTGATTCAACAATTAGTCAAAATATGGTGCTAATATTTTACAAATTTTATGGTAAATAATTTTTGATATTATGCATACTAGTTTTTCTTATTTTTCTACTTCAGTTAATTTGTGGTTAGGGGCAGAATTTTAGAGATTATTGTGAGAATTTTTAGTATTTTCAGTTTGATTGTAAGCCTATATACATGCATGTTTAGTTCTGGAATAATAGAACAGAGAGCATTAAGTATTTCTGCAATTTTTTGTGTCCTTTATCTGCAGAAAGTTTCTTCCTTTAAACTCTGTTTTCTCAAAATTTGTAAAAATCCAGAACCTTAAAGGGAATGAATTTATAATTTAAATACGGAAGCGAATAATAGAGTTAGAATTTACATTCCTTACATAATAGTTCAGAATACCCAATAACGCTATAAAAATGTCTTTTCTAAAAGACAAACAGTAATTAAAGAAAAGTGAATAAATAAATATCTTAGAACAACCTTCACTAATACTTGAAGAGAATATGGGTAGTGAACTACTTACAATCTTCTTGCTGATTGGGATATGGATATTGGTTTTCGTGATTTGAAATAATCAATGAAATGGTGAGCTACACTATTTCAGTAATAATATCACAATAATCACAGATACGAAAAACTAAAGATTGATAAAAATTAAAAAAATAACTAATTGAGCCCTTAATTTGATGTAAATTCATTTAATATAAAGAAAGTCGTTTATTCTGTACTTACGTAATGAGTTTTTCCAAAAACAACGTATGAATACCCATATTCATACCACTTTTTATTTTCACACATAAGATAACAAGTGACGATAATTTTCCTTTCTTACTTGCTTATTGGTACCCGTGGGGGTCCATAGGGATGTCCCTCTACTCGTGAACCCAATATTCAATTTTAATAATTAACCGGCCGTCCCTATACCTCATCCGGTAATGGGCACCAAATATTTCATCATCTCGATACCCCGTTCGGTATGAGGGGTGAATCATATCTCTCAAACCCTTCCAGTATGGGACTTTCCAGCCTCGTTCGACTGAGGTGACGTTCACGGTGGGGTTCCCTATGTACCGGACTCGTCCACTCTTTCTCTATGTACCCAGTAAGTCTTTCACATAAAGATTCTCATCAAGCAAAACAACCAACAACGCAAACTACTATCTCATTTCACATTTACAGATCAATTAAATTACATCATGCTGATAGTATGAAGTAGAATAAACCAGATAACTCGATAAGGTTATAGAAAATATAAATTTAGAACATGCACCATATAATAACAAGCAAATAGAGTAGTACAAGAAAATAAATAGGAAATCAGGATAATTGTAAACTAACTGGTTCCAGCTCCACTAATGACCAGTAATTATTTTTAGAGTTCTATAATTGTTTTATAAAAATACGAAATAATACAACGTTAAGTCTCAATTTACTGTAACGGGGAATAGAATGAGGTATCCTTACTTGAATCGATATTTTAAGACGTTGCTCTATCTGCTACGCCTCATAACGGGTATCGAATTTTTTAAATTTTTCATACGAAATTTAAGACATTCGTCACGTACCTAAACATACCCCCAAAATCCAAAATCGGTGCCCAAAACTCTTTTTGGCCGATTTTGGGGTTCTGGAGCGCCACCGCTGTCAGTTCTGCCACCCACAACGGTGGTTCACCTCGGTCTAGGTAGTTTTAGCCAGTTTTTGGCTGGTTTTACACATACCCCCACAGAAAAAGACGTTAAGGGCCTCAGTTGGCTAGAAAATTACCAAAAACATCGAACCTACCGGCAGGGGGGTCATTGGGTGCGGCGGTTGCGCTGATCCTTCTTCGAAGTTAGGGTTCTTTTTTTTGGCTAACCTGTACATAAAAGGACAGTGAGCATAATGATAAAAAAATTGAGTAAAATAAGAAACGAGAAGGGGCTCATTGGAAGGATTTTTGAGTTTTGGTCGCGGTGGCTCCGTCGAGCTTTACCTATAATTCTTGCTTCACCCACAGTCCCTCTTGCTCCGATTTGGTCACAAGGATGCTAGGAATTGAATTTCAAGCAGGTAGGAAATTTTTTTATCTTTTTTAGTGGTCGACAGTGGCTCCAATACGACGGCGGTTAACTGTCAGGCTCCTTCTCTAGTGCCTGATTCTTCTTCTCTAGCGAGGGCAAGCGGCTAGGGTTTGGGCTCCCATGAGATGCAAAGTATTTATACTCATTCTGTGTCGATCTAGGTCATTCATATCGATTGATCTCGTCCGTCCAATCACGACTAATGAAGAAACGAATCTAGATTGTCTATCGTAATTGATCTTGACTGTCCGATCGCGCCTAAGGGGAAAACGAATCTGGGTCGTCTACGTGCAAGATCGATCTTGCGTTGTCTAATCCCGGGGCATATGGATCGCTTACGTGGCCTCTCGCATGACACTGACATCAGCGCACCTTGCCACGAGGCATACTTCGGTTCGTCGGAGCTGCTGACTAGGCAGTCCTACGTAGCCGAACTTTTTCAGTTTGTACTTTGACTCATTGTTTTTAATTTTTCTTTTAAAAACACCCCTCAAACCCAAATTTTTACCAATTTTTCCTAAAATTACTTTCAATTACATCCCTACCTATTTTTTTTCAATAATTTAATAAAATTAAATAAAATTAATTTATGATTAATTTTTTATTTATTTTTAAAATACCAAAATTGATCTTGGGTCAACTTTCGAGCCAAGGTATTACAACTCTCCTTCCTTTAAAAAGAAATTTTGACCATCAAATTTATCACCCTCTCACTTGGTCAAACAGTTGGGGATACTGTGCTCTAAAGTTCGATTCTAGCTCCTATGTGACCTCTTTTTGTATATGATTCTACCATAGGAGCTTAACGAAGAGAATTTCAATATTGCGGAGTACTTTGCTTTTTCGGTCTACAATGTCCATTAGTACCTCCTCATAAGATAGATTCTCCTGAAGTGAAGGGGGCTCGTAGAACAAGATGTATGAGGGGTCCGAGTTGTACTTGCGTAGCAATGACACATGAAACACATTATGAATCCTAAATAGCTTTGGAGGTAGTATCAGTCTGTAGGCGGCCGCATCAATCCTGTATAAGATCTCAAATAGCCCAATGAACTGGGAATTTAATTTTTTTCTCTTCTCAAACCTACTGATTCTTTTGAAAGGGGTGACATTGAGGAACACTCGATCACCTTTTTCAAATTCTAAATCTCTTCTCCGGGTATTTGTATAACTCTTCTGCCTGCTCTAAACTGTATTGATATTCTCCCTGATCTTAACTATCTTCGCTGTAGTTTCCTCCATAAGATCTGTGTTGAATAATTTTTTATTACCTACCTCTTCCCAACATATCGACGATTTGCATGGGCGGCCATACAATACCTCCTACAGAAATATGGCGATACTTGTCTGGTAGTTGTTATTGTAGGCGAACTCTATTAAAGGTAAATGATCATTTCAATGGGCCCCGAAATCTAGAACACAAGCTCGGAGCATATTCTCTAGTGTGCGAATCATTCTCTTTGATTGTCCATTGGTCTGAGGGTGGAATACGATACTAAGAGACAGTTTTGTTCGCATAACTTGCTGAAAACTAGACCAAAATTGAGAAGTGAACTTGGGGTCTTTGTCGGATACTATTGTCACCAGTAATCCATGTAACCTAACTATCTCCCGGATATACATTCTTCCTAACTTGTCCAAGAGGTCGGTCATCTTGATAGCTAAGAAGTGAGAAGATTTGGTGAGCCAGTCAATAATTACCCAAATAACATAATGTCTTAAATGTGCCATAGACAACCCTATCACAAAATCTATCATGATATAGTCTCACTTCCACTTTGCGATTAGTAATGGCTGAAGTAGTCTGTCTGGGTGTTGATACTCTGCCTTAACCTGTTGACACACTAGACACTTGGAAACAAAGTTGGCTACCTATTTTTTCATCTTGCTCCACTAAAATCGGGGTCGTATACTTTGATGTATTTTAGTGCTTCCGGGATGCATGATGAACTTTGAGTTATGAGTCTATATCATGATGTCTCTTTTTAATTCACTGTCACCTGAAAGACGCACCATATTCTGAAATCTGAGCAACCCATCGGCAAAGACTCGAAATTCTAAGTTTACTCCATGTTCTGCATCCTTCCTAAGAGCTGTTAGGGTGGAATCGACACATTGAACTTCCTTTATTCTCTAGATCAATTCAGGTTGAACAGTTAGGTAGGTCAAATATGTAACTCTCTTCAAGTCCTGAAATCGTATCTATTGTGCAACCCCTATTACTTTGTATTTTGAAACCATTAGGTTAGCTAGCATACCTGTACTTTTTCTGCTGAACGCGTGGCTACCACATTACCCTTGTCTGGGCGGTATAAAATGTTGCAATCATAGTTTTTGAGGAGCTCTATCCAATTTGATGTAAATTTGATGTAAATTCATTTAATATAAAGAAAGTCGTTTATTCTGTACTTACGTAATTAGTTTTTCCAAAAATAACGTATGAATACCCATATTCATACCACTTTTTATTTTCACACATAAGATAACAAGTGACGATAATTTTCCTTTCTTACTTGCTTATTGGTACCCGTGGGGTCCATAGGGATATCCTTTTACTCGTAAACCCAATATTCCATTTTAACAATTAACTAGTCATACTCATACCCCGTCTGGTAATGAGCACTAAATATTTCATCGCCTCGATAGTCCGTCTGATATGAGGGTGAACCATATCTCTCAAACTTTTTTAGTATGAGACTTTCTAGCCCCCATTCGACTGAGATGACATTCACAATAGGGTTTCCTATGTACCAGGCCTGTTCACTATTTCCCTAAGTACCCAGTAAGTCTTTCATATAAAGATTCTCATCAAACAAAACAACTAACCACACAAACCACTATCTCATTTTACATTTACATATCAATTAAGCTATATTCACACTGATAGTATGTAGCCAAATAAACCAAATAAATCGATAAGACTATAGAAAATATAAATTTAGAACATGCACAATATAATAACAAACAAATAGAGCAGTACAAGAAAATAAATAAAAAATCAGAACAATCGTGAATTAACTGGTTTTGGCTCCACTAGTGACCTGCAACTATTTTTAGGGTTCTTTAATTTTTCATAAAAACACAAAATTATGCAACATTAAGCCTCAATTTACCATAACGGAGAATAAGGTGAGGGATCCTTATCGGGATAAGTGTTTCGAGATATCACGTTGTCTGCTATACCTCCTAATGGATACCGAGTTTCCTGAATTTTTTCTGCGAAATTCGAAACACTCGTCACGTACCTAAAAATACACCAAAAATCTAAAATCGGTGCCTAAAACTCTTTTTGGCCGATTTTAGGGTTCCGGCGCCGACTCCGTCGCCTACGGTGGCAGTTCGCCTTGAACTAATCAATTTTAGCCAGTTTTACACGTATCCCTATAAAAAAAATACGTTAGGGGCCTCGCTTGGCTGAAAATTTACTAAAAACACCGAACCTACCGGCGGGAGAATCACTGGGTGTGGTGGCTCCGCCAGTCCTTCTTCGCGGCTAGGGCTCTTCGACTAACCTTTACAGAAAAGAATGGTGAGCACAATAATCAGAAAATTGTGTGAAACAGAAAACAGAAAGGGGTTCATCGGAGAAATTTTTGGGTTTTGACGGTGGTGGCTCCACTGGGCTTTGCCCACGATTTTTGACTCACCCGCCGTCCCTCTTTCTCCAATTTGGCCACAAGGATGCTCGGAATTGAATTTTGAGTGGGCAGAAAATTTTTACCTTTTTTGGTGGCCTATGGTGGCTCCGGTACAGCGGCGGTTGGCAGTTGATATTCTTTTTCGGCATTTGGTTCTTCTTCTCCAACGAGGGTTGACGACTAGGGTTTGAGCTCCCATACGACGCGAAATATTTATACCAATCTCTCGTCGATCTGGGTCATTCATCGCGATTGATCTCGTTCGTTCGATCACCCATAAGGAAGAAACGAATCTGAACCGTCCAATGCCATCCGATCGTGCCTAAAGGGGAAATGAATCTGAGTCGTTCACGCGCACAAGATCAATCCTTAGCCGTTTGTTCGCAAGGCACGTAGATCGCTCGCGTGGCCTCCCGCGCGGCACTGATGTTAATGTGCCTTGCCATGCGGCGTGCTCAGGTTCGTCGGTTCTGCTGACTTGACGGTTTTACGTAGTCAAACTTTTTTTATTTGTACTTCGAGTTTATATTTTTAATTTTTTTTTTAAAAAAAATATTGATCGAATCAAAATTTTTATCTAATTTTTTCAAATTGCTTTAAATTACATCCATACTTATTTGTTTTTTCAATAATTTAATAAAATAAAATAAATTTAATTTATAATTAATTTTTTATTTATTTTTAAAATATCCAAAGTTGGACCGGGTATTACAAAATTGTTCCAACAGGTGCACGGTTTGAAATTTCATGCAATACAAAGTAAACCATAACTTACTTTTTCACTCTATCTCCATCTGTAATATATACACGACACCATATGTATGTAGAGCCCGGTGGGTTTTAACTAATATATATATATATATATATATATATGATTGGACCCCATAAGTATTGCAGTGTAAAAAGTGACAAAATTGCTTTTAATTCCCAGAATGACCTCTTGTTAACTCTTCCATTCACAATGTTAGTTGACGAGGTGAGTTTAGTATCTGCTTCACCCAAAAAAATAAGTGTTGGCAGACAAGAGAGTAACTACGAGCAAATCAGATATTTTCAGAATTATAAATGATTTGTACAATAAGTATATTTATTTATTTTTATTAATTTAAAATAAAATTATTTAAAAAGATTATCAATAATTTCATATGAATATAATTATTTAAAAAGATTTACTTTATATATTTATTGCGTAGAAAATTTATTTTATATAATAAGCTAACGTTAATTAATTAATTAATTAATTTATTTATTTCAAGTAGGACATGAATTCAAATTGACTAATAAATAAGTAAAAACTTTCACCGTATACCTTACGGTGGGAGTCGGGAATAAACTTAATAAATAATTTTTAGAAGGAAAGATATATAAATAAATAAATAATATGTTAGAGTCAGACACGAAGGTTTCAACTAATTTTTGGCGTTTAGTAATAATTGATTTGTTTCAGGGCATTGACTCCGCAAGAAAATTCGTCTCAACTCCAAACTGGCTGCTCCTCCTATTGCGTGTTCAAAGTGCTTCAATTTCAAAACAAATTTCTACCCAAAACATGTGGGTCCATGTGTATTTGTACGTACTGTATAGGTTGAATAATAAAATAAAGAATTAAAAATATATATTTATAAGAAAAAAATTATTAGAATTTAAATTAAATTATATCTAAAAATAAAAATCGGAAACAAATCTCGTATTGAATCAAGAGAATAAACACTGAAGCGTACCTGAATTTATAATAAAAAAAATCTGTTCGTCACGCGGTAAATCCTTCTAAATTAGTATCTAACCTTTTAAATTATTACGTTCTCTCTATTTCTGATTATGAGACATCAGAATAAAAAAATTATAAGTGTAATTTGGGAATTATAACCGTTTATTTATACGCAAACCACGCATGTAATTTTTTTATATTTCTAATTTAATCCATCACAAAATCATAAATTACAGATTTGATATCTGCACGTAAAATAAAGTACGTACTTTAATTTAATGTATTAAAACTCAATATATCTTTAATGTTCTCGGCTCAATTCTAACTGGGTCCAATTAATCTGATAAACTTTTTATGTACAGTAATTTATATATATAAGTTTATATGATAAATTTAAAACCAACAAATATAAAATAAAATTTATTAGGGAGATGAAATTAAAAAATAAACAGAAAAAAATAAATGTTATGCTAGAAAATTCAGCAAGGCTTAAGATAAAAACAAAGAGAAGTGCGTGCAGTAGGCGTTGTGTGTATTGATTGACAAGGAAACGTCATTGACTTGCACTATCATTCCAGACTCGAAATAAATAAGGTATCGCTTGGCTATACTTCCATAACTTACGTATAATAAATAAATCACTGAATCAATCTTCCATCTCCAACAAAGAAAAAAAGCAACATGAAGGTATATGCGTACACTATAATATATATAATTTGGTTGTCATATATGAGATGACTTCAACTTTAAATTCATGCATGGTTTACTTATCACTAATAATAATAATAATCTCTTCTGCAGAAAAAGATGGTGGTCGAGGTGGCCATGAATGGCCAGATTAACTATTGTTTAAAGATCATCTATCTTCTCATCAACATTTTGTCCATGAACGCTTTTAGTCCCCTCATCAAGAAGAAGCTGTCCGTGGATGGCTCCACGTGTCCCTCTATTGCTATGAAGCTTGCAGCCAGCTTTTCAGGTTCTTCATTAATTACCACATTACACAACAAATTTTTCCACCACCTGTCAAAATGTTTACCAGAGTGTTAATGAATTTATACAGGAGTAGAATCTATAGCCTTAAAAGGGGATGATAAGAGCCAGATAGAAGTGACCGGAGATGGAGTAGACCCGGTGAAGCTTACAACTTTCTTGAGGAAGAAGATGGGGCATGCGAAGCTGTTGAGTGTTAGTGACGCAGACAAAAAGCCGGAAGAGAAGAAACCAGAAGAGGTTAACGTGCAGCCTCTGCAATGGCTTCCTATGGGCACCATCCCTCACTGTCAAGTCTTCCATTTAAACTAATGATCAGCTATAGCCCCATACAACCAAGAGAAGCACCTTGACATGGTTTCTTGTGGCACTTCGTAGACCACTTCTTGCGGAAACTTGGGACCATCTGGTCTACTTTAATTCCAATTCGTGCTCAGCTTATTATTAACGGCCTTTCTCCCTCTGTCTCTCTGGTAGTTTTTGCTTTTTTGTGTTAGTTATCTGAAAATTAGATACGGAAGCTCTCTTTTATTTCACCTAGAGCACGGGAAAGTGCCAAAAGGCTATGTATAAATTAATAAAGGATACGGATGTGTTTTGTGAGTGATATGAATTGTTTAGGGCTAAGGTTCATGGATTATGTTGAAGCCATAAGCCAAACTTTATTTATCTGCAAATTACATGTCATCTATATATAATCATGACAAAATAATTATGTTGTTCAGGCCCTCATTGCACCTAATCAATACCCTAAATGCGTGCATAATATCTTTAATTTCCATAAAAATATATAAATATTCCATGAACCACACTCTACCTTATTCAGGTTAACACTATGAGATCAGAAAATGAGCCAGTATTGGTGCTGGCATAGTTAACGAGTACCTTCTATTAGCCGTTTCCTGTTTATGGTACACTTCAAAACGCATATCTGCTTTCATACCCCTACTATGGGCAAAAGCAACTAATATCCAGTAGGTCAAATGCCCAGAAATTCACAATCAGAGAACCTTGATGATGCAAGGCTGCTAAAGGTAGACCATCAATCTAACGCTCTCTGGCTGGATATCAATTTGGGCGTACAGAGAACAGGACGTCCAGAGTGAATGGAACAAAACTAACCAATTGTATGTTCAGACTAAAATAAGGTTAGTACTAAACACCTTCCACCGAATACATTAAGTGTTCCGGTCCCCCAATATCGACAGGATGGTTGAAACACCATTTCAAGCAACAAGATCAACTTCATCTCGATCAGGGGGAACCACATCCAATCTCATCATGCTCCAATATTGATCAGGAACTGATGCACCAGCCTGCACACAGAGCTCCACTACAGCAGGGGCCTTCCCATAATACCTCTTCAAGTTATTATCTAATGCTGGCTTGCGCAGATCTCGAACATGCCAGACAAAGTTGGGACCAATAAGATCATCTATTGTTGCTTCTTGCCACGCATGCATACCATTGCGTGACTGGTGCTTTGATGCTTTGCACATCCTGACCTTGTGACCCTTAGGCCCAACCTGAACCTCAGGACAATATCCACAGGTCCAAACTTTGTACTTCTCCATGATCTTGTTTGATCCCGATATCATTTCAAACCACAAATTCATTGTCCCAGTACTTAACTCTTTCAGATTTTCATTGTTCCCATGGTCTAGATTACAAAGGTTTGCCTCAGAACTCAGAATCTCCATTTTCTCACCAATCTTGGCCCCTTTATTAGAATCAGGCTCCTCAAGAGGATCAATGTCTACAGAGTCCAAGTCTTTCTTCATCTCATTATTTCCTTCTACTGACTCGAAATCCACAATTCGCCCTTCAATATTATATACAGGTTTTCTTCTTCTTCGCGCAGGGTATTTTTCAAGGTCCACACCAGCTTGTATACAGAGCTCCACAACAGCAGGGAGTCGGGGTACACTATACCTCTCATCATGCACAACCCTTGCTTTTCCAACACGGTCAAAAGATGGAAACATTTGGGAAAGAAAACCAGATCATGCACTCCTCCCTTCCTCCAAAGATGATTGGCACTCCGGAAACCACTTTTTGGACCACTGCAACTTCGGATGTTATGACCCACATGGCCAACATGAACCTCAGAGCAAAACCTACGAAGAAGAAGTCATCGAAATTAACATCATATCACATAGCAGAAAAATGAACATCAACAAACCCCAAACAAAGTTGTCCCTTCTGGTTCCAGAAAATATAAAAACGCAAAAGGCTGCAAGAAGAAACATAACTACAAAATCATAATTTGAAAACTCAGTACTGCGGATTATTAAGTTAGACCCCAGTAAGCACATGGTCTTTATTTAATAAAGTTTATTGTCTATCAATTCCTTCACTGTTTTATTTAACTAGTCTTTATGCAAAAGGCTGCATTCAGTTTTGGTTTCCTATTTTAGAGATTTGTTGAAGACTAGTTAATGGAGAAGTTAGTGGCAGAAAACATTACTTGATTAGTGGAGAAGTTAGTGACAGATATCATGGCTTGGTTAGTGGAGAATATGGCTTGATTATATGCCTATATAAGGCAGCCCATTTGCATCAAATAAATTCATTTTTTTCCTAACTTTGCTTTTTGTTTTCGGATATATTTTTTATTGAGTACATATTTTCTTTCCTCTCTGCAATATGTATATTTTGCTGTGACTTTTTTGTTGTGTTTCTCAACATAGATTACTAATTTTGTCAGTACAGTAGCATATAGAGCTGCATTCAGATATATATATTCACCACATACCAAAACACCGGAAAAAATTATTGCATTAGAAACAAATTGAGCAAGTCTTGAATGCATCATACCAACTTAAAGCTCATTTCAATATATTAGAATTAATTGTTTGTTTTTCTGTTATCAATTTTGTTATCATTTCTGTTATAACAAACCACATGTAAATTTCCTTCTTCTGCCCTTTACTTTGTATATAAATAGAATACATTCAAATATCAATATACAACATAAAATTTATGGTTTATTTACTTCTCTAATATATCAGAGCTTTGAATTCCTACAATTTCCGCTGCACCTCATTAAGCTACTATGGCTAGAGGTGGTGGACGC